AAAAAAACCAGTCACTAAATCCACAAAGGCTGTCAAAATCCTTCTTATCAGTACGCCTGCACAGTGAATTGATGATATCCAAAGTAACTTTAGCTGCTTCTCCTGTTGTTCTTATTCTTTTGGCTTTCATAGTTCCGCAACTGATCGTGGCACTTTCATAGCAAAGACAGCAGCATTCAGCACATTCTGGTTCCATCGCTAGCGAGTCACCATTCACTAAGTTGCAAGTGGGCAGTATAGCAAAATAAACCGCGCTTGCCGCTTGATAAAATATTCATCTAATAATGATTAATTAATTAATATAATTAAAAATTCATCTAATAATAATTGACTAAAACATTAAAAATTCATTTAAAGTCCATTATCCTTGTACGGCTTCTCAATTTGATTAGAACAACTTTGATACGGTCAGTTTTCCAGACCCATCCCGGAGGCACGGAGGGTGTGGTCTGGCTATGCGAGACTAGTCATAGATAATAGAGTACAGAGGGATTGGAAACGGGGCATCTCGGTATACATAGCTAGGATACGGATGCTAGTTGACATTTGCATCTAGCAACGCCTAGCAACGGAGGCTGTCTTTGAGCAAGAGCTGTCTTTTTGAGACCTGTCATTAAAGCAGTGGTGTCACTATACGTCATTATTTATATCAAAGGAAGTAGGAGAGACTAGCATCTATCCTCAGACTAATTTTTATGTTGCTAGCATCATCATTTGCACCGAATATTTGCTCTGGAATGAGAATGCTTAGAATGTCATTTTGTTTTGTACCCTTTACGAGGCTTCCCTCTTAAGGAGAAACCAATGCCAAAGGGTTCCTCACGCACTCAAGGTACTGTAAGTGTTGGGGGTGCTCGTAAAAGCTCTGGCTCTATTTGTTGTGGAATCTGTGATAAGAATGTGCTCGATGATCCTCGTGGTGAGGAGTCAATATTTTGTGAGGGATCTTGCCAGGTATGGGTCCACAGGAGGTGCATTGGTCTATCATTCACATCCTTTGAGGCTGCACCCTCTTCACCAGACCCCTTTCTCTGCCCTACTTGTCACAACCATAAACTCTCTAATGTCATTACTGCTCTAGAATCCACAATCTCATCACTGCAGGACAATGTCTTATTGTTAGAATCTACAGTTTCATCACTGCAGGAAGAAGTTTTGTCTCTTCGCTCCACCCTCTCTAGTGTTAACCAGAGTTCCTCTACTCCAACGTCTCCCTCTGATACTTCAGCTTCAAGCCAAATTAGTACTCCTGGTGGCTCTAATTCTCCTCCATTTAGCTCTGTACAGCGTACTCATGTGTCCCGTTCTGTTACCATACCCAGGAAGTATAATGTGCTGTTCTTTGGAATTGCTGAGCAGGCTACTGGCTTGTCAAGGTCTGTGAGAATCCAGTCCGACTATAGACATGTCAATGACCTTCTGTGTGGTATGCAGGAAGACTCTGGTCACGTCTGTCAGGTTCGTGATAATGTCCGTGTTGGCAAATTCAATCCAAGTTCTGACAGGCCACGCCCTATCCTGGTTACTCTTGGCTCTACTGCCGATGTGTCCTTTATTTTATCTAAGAAACACCTGCTTTCCTCTCCTGTGTCTGTACATCGTGACCTTTCCCCATCACAGAGACTTGAGCATAGCATATTATCTCAGGAACGGAAGAAGCTGGTCGACTCCAATGTTGATGCTACTCTGATTAGGACCAGAAATTCAGGACTGTATGTGAGGGATAGGTTAGTGGGTAAGGTGGTCGATGGGATATTTGTTCCATCCCAAAATCTTGGTGCCTTAGCACCTCCTCCTGCTAATGAAGTTAGTCACTCTTCTGTAATTCCTTCTCCTACTTCTCACTCCTCACAATCTGATGTGTCTCCTCTTACTTCTAACGGTTCTCATGGCTCCAGCAATTCTTCCTCTTCCTCTCACTCCAATATTACTTCTCCCTCATCATCTGATCTGCCGAACATGGCCACTTCTCAATGACAACTACAGAACGATGTCTCTGTGCTCCTTTGGAACTGCCGAAGTCTTGTTAACAAAGCTCGTAACTTTCAATCCTTTGTGTTTTCCTCCAATTACAAAATCTTTGCCCTTACTGAGACCTGGCTGTACCCTAGTTTTACTGATGGGGAGCTTTTCCCTTCTTCTTTCTGTATTTATAGACATGACAGGGTTTCTCGTGGTGGCGGGGTTTTGATAGCTGTTGATCACTCCCTTCCTTCCTCTCAAATCTCTACTCCTGCTGATTTAGAATTAATATGTGTTAAATTAACTTCCTCCCCTTCTCTCATTATTTGTGTAGTCTATATCCCCCCTACCTCTGATTCTAGCTATTGTGACAAACTATTTCTGTTTCTTGATTCAGTTGTCATGCCTGACACTCACACTGTTATTTTAGGGGACTTCAACTTTCCAGACATCTGCTGGGATACTCTATGTGGTCGCTCTCAGAACGCTGACAATCTCTGTAAGTTCATCTTCCGTCTGAACCTCTCTCAGCTTGTTACATTCCCCACACACTCAGGTGGTAATATATTGGATTTGGTTCTATCTAGCTCTCCATCATATGTGAAGGAGGTTTCACCTCTTCCACTCTCCTCTCCTTATTTAAATTCAGATCACATTCCCATACTTGTTACACTTATGTCTGGGATTCCTTCATATTCAAAGCCTCAGACCAGTTGGTTTTACAATTACAAAGCAACTGACTTTGACGGACTCAACTCATACTTGCTTGACTTTGATTTCCGTCCTCTTCTGAGTTCTTCAAGTGTTGAGTTTGCCTGGTCTTTCATAAAACAAGTCATAGTGGCTGCTGTTTCTCTTTTAACTCCCATGGTTAGGGTTAAGTCTCACAGTTTACCAAAGTGGTTTGACTCTAACATTCGCCATCAACTCCACAAAGTTCATACAATCCGTAGACGACATAAACGCTCTCCAACTGCTTCTACCTTCTCAAAGCTAGTGTCACTTGAATGCTCTCTGCAGCTTAGCATCTTAGAAGCACGGACTGCATATGAGACATCTTTGGTCCATGGTTTCATGAGTTCACATGATCCTTCTATTTATTTATACTTAAGGGATCTTTCTGGGAGTTCTACTATTCCATCTGTTATGTACCTTAACAACCAGTGTGCTGAAAATCCCAGAGATATTGCAAATCTCTTTAATGAATTCTTTTACTCTGTTTTTGACAAGGGTTCTTCAGCTAATGTAGCACCACCTCAGTATCTCCCAGATTCCTCATTGTGCTCTATTTCAATATCTATACAGGATACCTTTGAAGCCTTGTGCCATCTAAACCCCACTAAGGCAATGGGCTGGGACAACATCTCCCCATCTGTTCTAAAACATGCAGCTACCCCTTTGCTGGAGCCTCTGCATCATTTGTTTACTATCTGTATTGATAAAGCATGTATCCCTGATGATTGGAAGCAACATCTCATTGTTCCCATTCCCAAAACTGGGGATGCCTCCTCAGTTTGTAAACTATAGGCCAATTTCTCTCCTCTCTGCAGTGTCTAATGTCTTTGAACGCCTGGTTTTTGATAAAGTGTCATGTCACTTGGCTGAGACCTCCATATCCCGTCTTCAGTTTGGCTTTATGCCACATAGGTCCACTGTAAAGCAGTTGTTACTCCACCTCCATCATATTTTCCAATCCTTGGAAAGAGGCCATCAGGTAGATACTATTTTACTAGACATTAAGAAGGCGTTCGACTCTGTGCCCCACGATAGACTTCTCCTCAAATTATGGGAAGCTGGGATCAATGGGTCTGTGTGGTATCTCCTTCGGTCATACTTAAGTGAGAGACGTCAATGTGTCAGGATTAATGGTCACACTTCTAATTGGCTCCCGGTATGCTCAGGGGTACCTCATGCAGGGAAGCATCTTGGGTCCCTTGCTGTTCCTTGTCTATATTGATGATCTGCCTAGGTCTCTCTCTCATTCCAGTGCACTCTTATTTGCAGATGACACAAAAGTCTCTCACACTATTTGTTCACCGGCAGACTGCTCTGCTCTGCAAGCGGATCTTGACTCTCTCACTCAATGGAGCCATGACTCCAAGTTGTCTTTTAATAGCAAGAAGTGTTACTCTATTCGTTTTGACACCACAGGGACTGACTTTAATTCTCAGTATAAGCTTTGCGGGCATTCAATTCATCAGGTTAATAGCTGTCGTGACCTAGGTATCATCATTTCTGACAGTCTCTCTTGGTCTTTACATTATCGCTCCATTTCTTCTAAAGCCTATGGACAAATGTCACTGATAAGGAGGACATTCTCTACATCTTCTATCAAGGTTAGGAAATTGCTCTATATTTCCCTGGTCCGATCTAAACTAGTGTATGGTTCACAGTTGTGGCGTCCAATGTACATTAAAGACATTGTCATCTTAGAAAGGATCCAACGCCGGGCTACCAGATTTATTACCAACGACTATGTATCTAACTATCGTGATAGGCTCCTGTCCCTTCGCATGCTACCCCTAATGTATACCCTAGAGCTGCTTGACATCCTCTTCTTTATCAAATGCCTCAAGTTCCCTGACCCTAGCTTCAATATTCTAGACTATATCTCTTTTTCTCATTCGTCTACTAGATCCTGCACTAA